GGGCGGTATCGCCCCCGTTGAGAACCAATGACTTAGAGGAAACTGGTATGCTTTTTTCAGCGGCATACTACTCTAGCACTGATTTGCCAAAATGGATAATACGCATCTAAAAACTGCTGGAAATGTAATAATCAGCTTGAATCATTCTTCTATATCTCCTGGGATTGACAAAGGTCAGCAATTTTGTAAGACAATTAATCATAGGATAAACAATTTTTAAATAATGACTTTCCTGTTCTACCAGATGTTTTTTTTTGCAAAGTATCAGCAAATCTCATATTTCTACAAAGTAGAAGTTGGCTTTCTAAATGATAACTACTACTAGGATACTCCACAGTTATCGTTGAAAATATTTAATTCCTTCATTAGAATATGGCAGCCAACTGGGGAATATGCATTGTCAAAAATAACTTCATATCTAAAAAATAAGACTGATATTAACTTAAACTTAATTTGGAAAGTGTTTATGAACTATAATTCTCCACATAACTTTCTGGTACTTCCAAAGTTCAGGTTTCTTTCAGTATAAGGTTTTAAGACACTACATCTTGTCTGATTGGCAGTAAAGGATAGATTGCTTCAGATTAGTTAGAAATGTTTGATAACTCTTATTATGATGGCTGTTAATATTTATTATTTTAGCTGCTTTTGTCAACCTCCAGTCTGATGCTAATATTAGTTCTTGTGCTAAACTGTTGTATGATTATCTTTATATCTCTTCCAATGTAGTGTGACTTGATAGAATGATAGTGGAATGCCTTTTCTTTTCCTATAAATAATTTAGGAATAATTTATAAATATTTTATTTAATTTTACATTTTATATATTTAATTGTTTTTGTGCCTTCAAGTCAGTGTTGACTCCTGACAACTGCCTGAACAAGTCCCTTGACAAGATTTCAGATTTGCCTGCTTCCTAGGGCTGAGAGAAAGGGACTGGCCCAAGGTCACCCAGCTGGCTTCATGCCTAAGGCAGGACTAGAACTCACGGTCTCCCAGTTTCTAGCCTCGTGTTTTCACCACTACACCAAACTGGCTGTCTCATTCATTTTATTATGTTTTACATATTTTATATTTTTATAATATATTTTCCTTTTTTATCTTTGTATTTTTTTTTCTGTTCTCACTCTTCAAGTATCTTATAAAACTAAATAAATGCATTCAAATTATTTGGAAAAGGTTTTCCTATCAAACAAATACAGTAATTTTTAAAACATCAGCAATAGTGACTTATGGTTATTTTACCTTTAAATTTAATATCCAAACCGCTGAATTCTAGTTCAACTCCTTGAAGTGCTTCTCCAAGAGTTTCATGGTAGTGATCAATGCTTTTTTTGGATCCACCACAGAAAGGGAGAGAGAAGTATTTGTAGGTTTCCTGTCGATTGTGATATGGTCCTACAGTATTCATCCATAAAACAACTTCTTCTTTATCTTGGTACTGAAAAGAAACCATATTTAAAGATAAAGAATTATCAATAGGCACATTGTTTAAAATGGAATAAATTTTCACAGAGAAATACAAGAAAAATGCTTTAAAATATTGATAGGCAACCCCTGGTTTCCATGCCATCCCCCAAAATTATACCATTAAAAAAGAGCAGTGTGATTACCTTCTGCATTTTGTCAAGGAAAAGAAAAGTCATACAGGTAGTCCTCATTTAGGAACCACAATTGGGACCATCAACTTGGTTTCTAAGTGACATGGTTGCTAAGTGGAAAATCATGTGTCCACAACTGTGCTTATGATTTTATTTCAGCTTTCCTTTTTCCCCACTTCCCCACCCTTTGGAATGCTTACCCCATGCTGGGATAATTACCAAGAATGAAATAAATGTTTGTATTTACATTCATTGGAGAGGAAGGGATTACAAGAGAGTAAGCAGGCACACAA